CTGCTGGAGGTCAGTCTGGCGCGTACCCCCAGCTCTCAGGCAAGGATCTTGGCTGCGAAATAATTGCATGGAAGTAATTTTTACTATCTCACTGCAGTAAGGTTTGGTCTGGGCACTCATACCAGTGTTTACTACGAAATGATTACTGTGTAGCAGTTCTGTATGTAAACAAAGTGTTACAGGAACACTGTAAGCCTAGGTATAAACAATGTCTTCCCTTACCGTTTCTTCAAGGTCTTATGGCATCTTTATTTTATTTTATGGGACTTTATGCATGGGATTGATTACATGAACAATCTGCATATTGATAATCTCTCAAATCGCAGAGTCAAGACTGCAGAAAGTAAAACTGCAGTTGTCTCCATTGCATAAAATACATAGTGAACTCTTTATTGTAACAACTTAATTGTAAAGAAGTCTGCAACCTCAAATCTGTGTATAAACTAGAAGCTTCTCTTGAGGATGAAATGTGACAAAGATGTTCACAGTGGCTTGACTGTTCTATAACTTTCACGGGCCTTGGACACGGTGTCAGGATAAAACCTGATTCAGAAGCCCAGCCAAGTGTGCTGTGCATTGGTGGGTGATAGGAGAAAACTGGGGTCTGTCTGGCACACATCAAACTATACTTCTGTTATTATGGTGAGTAAAAAGCACACTGTATACTGGGCTGCAGCTTCATATGTGGGCCTGAGATACTTAGTTTAAGCCTTTTGTGGGAGGGCCAAAAAGAAAAATGGGCTTGTTAATGCCATGAGATTGTGCTGCCTTCATAATTCTACAAGTATGCTGTACTGAGGTACAGGCAACTTACATCTGATGCATCTTACATATGATACACCTTTAGTCAGCAGGGATGCATAATGCCAACTCAAGAGAGCAAGAGAGGCTTTAGTCAGTCTCACTTGGTTTGCTTGGGTACAGGCATACAGAGGTGCCCTGAAAGAATGACAAGCAGAAATACCAGTGCATTTCTCAGGCAGAGTGTGTTTCTCTGTCCAGAAGGGCAGTGACATAGTGCTCCTCAAAATGAAATTGAGGAAAGCACTTGAGAAAATGTTTGTTCTTCAGGCAGATGCTTTAATTGTCTAAACGGTCAACAGAAGAGATCCTGACTATTAAACTGAAAGGGGGAACTATCTTATAACTACAGCCCAAAAGAAAAAAGAAGCAGGTGCTCACCCTGTTGTATCAGAGAACTTGTCACCTGACTCTTACTTATTCCCTTCCTTCAAACCATCAGTTCAGCTCTATGGAGTCCATAAAACAACCAGTTAAAGCCCCTGGTGGGTAAGCATTGCAGCAGTACTAATAAAATGAGCACCTGGGAATAGAAAGTGTAGCTTTACATAGCCACAATTGAGTAATAGTTTCAGTGGGTATTTGAATAACTAGTTGCAGAATCAGTCTCTCACATGTCTTTAGAGAAAGGAACAGTATTTCTATAGAACCCTATAGACCTCTCTATATGAAATGTGTAACACGATATAAATAATGCCCACCTCACAATGTTACTAGGACACAACATCTTAAAACATATCCTTATTTGATTTTGTTAAGGCCAGTCCCTAATGAATAATTAACATCAAAATACTAAAACTTGATAAAGGAGCTAGTCAAAATAAAAACATCTTTCACTAACATTGCAGTTGCTGAAACAATGTTCAATGAAGTTGCTTTTTTCAGGTATGCAAATAACATCAGCTTTCATTCCGCTTTTTAATTGCAGCAAGAATAATTTTTAAACCAGGAGGGTATTTCTCAGGGTTTTCTAAATGCTCTTGTCAGTGTATTCTTACACTAAACAACTAATGAAAAACCAAAAATACAATAATGGCACAACATCTTATATTTATGAAAATATCAATGATTTCAGATCAAAGATGTGATGCTCCTGAACATCGTCCATGTAGAATCCAAGAGAATGTGAACATAAATGATAAATGATAATATAAATGCACAAGGTATACGTTGTCTTTGTGTCACTTTATTAAGTAAAATATAAATCCTTTTTGCATCATGGAAAGTTGCAGTTCTTTGCACCATTTCACATACAACTACTTACTACTTTTAGAATAATCTTTGTAATTCCAATATCCAGAGGATCCAATTTTATTTTCATACAGTTTTTGAAGATGAGCATCTGCAGATTGACATGAAATTCATCAAAGCTTTGCTCCATTGAGGGGCATTAGAAAAAGGGTTGTCAATGGCCAGTTCCTGGAATCTCTTGACAAGTTGAAAAACCATTCGTGTTTCCTTCCAAACCTGCTAAAACCTGCCTCTGTTGACAGAAGCCTACTGTTGCATTCAAAACTACTGCAATACCTATAATGACATGTCCACATTTTTCTTCTGTCCTCCAGAGTTACTTCCCATCATCTAAAGTGGGTATAGATATTGTTCTGTTTACTTTCTTTTAAAAAATTGTACTAGCATCGGTATGATTTTTTCCACACAATTTTAATGGGAAAAAATAGTCAATATGTGCTGACAATGTTTTGTATGAAGGAAGTCCCAGTATAAAGTGAATGTCACAAAATGTTTCCTAGAAATCACTGAAAAATAAAGAAGTCAGCAATTCTAAAGCACTTTAGTAACCAGAAAATAACACACCAGGACTGTGTTTGTAATTAATAGTTTGATTCGAATAATATAGTATATAATCAAATAATATAAATAAAAACAATGAAACTCACATAGAATACTTTCCCCCTGGAGATGTTCCACTGCTTTTTAAGACTGTCTGTATGAGAAACACAAGAAAAAACAAAAGTCATAGCATACTAGTAGGAGAAGGTATTTAGTCAAACAAAACAATTGTAACACACCATGGTGCCAGTAGAGGGTAGTGACCAGCAAACGAAATTTAAAAACACTCCAGGAACAGAAATTAAAATCTGGCCGTTGGTACTAGGAGGTTCTGGGAAAGCTACAAACCTTCTAATTTGAGTATTGGAATACTGAGTATTGGAAATTTTACCAATATTTTAATACAGGGAGCAAGGATTTTTGTTTCTGAAGCTGTAGCTCAAATTTGCCTGCAGTAATGCAAAGTAGACAGTTGTGAGAGTAACTCCTTGTGAGTAAGGCTTTCTATTATACCTCTAAAGAAAAAGGTATTTTGCATATATATCCCCTCCAACACTGCAGGTTATCCCTGCCACGTGTTAGTTTTGCCTTTGTTTTTGTTTGCATCTAAGTAAGAAAATACTGCAGCTTGTCCTGTTCTACAGCCAAATAAACCCCAAAGATTTGGTCCTGTCTTGTGCTTTCCATCTTTTTCAACAGTATGGCACTGAGAACATTTCCTGGATAAACATATTCTCATGTTTTTCAACATCACCCATTTTGATCTATGGAAAAAATCTAAAATGTTTGTCAAAGTTATCATGTTCTTTGTCTTGATAACTACATCTGCTTATGTGAAAGGGGCATTTCTGCATATTTAATTTGCTTGTGAAAAATAACAGATCATGTGCAGCCTGATCCCCTGATTTCTTCTTTTAACTTCATTTTGCACCAGGAGACAATCTTCCATTATGATCTCAGTAAGAATGGAGTCACACTCTGCAAAGTATCTTCGATAATGCTGTTTATTTACAATGCCAACACAATAAAAAGTATAATCTCACATCCCTATAGATGGTGGAAGACCCAGTGGCATAGCATCGAGGAAGCCTCTGGCTCACACAGAGCATGCTATGCAGATCACCTTCATAGTAGAGAGCCTCTCTTGTGGTCTTTCGAGCTTTATAGGATTTTGTAACGTGGAAACAACTCTGCCATTTCCGCAGTCAAACCAGAAATGATGCTCTCAGGAATCCTTGCTGTGCTGTTAGGTAAAGGCAAGGCCAGGCAGCAGGTGTAATCATCAGTACCAAGCAGGGGCTGCCCACAGGCTCCTTTGTAAGCATGAGCCAGCTGACTGAGTTTAGCCCGCTCTTCCCTGGCTGAGGTCTGTGTGCTGCACAATATGGCTTGAAGGCCAGGCTGTACCTACACCATGGCCCGGCACAGCCCCAGCCTGCGCTTGCCTGGGGTGACTGTCTCTAGTTGAAGGATGCCCTTTAAAGATAAACAGATCATTTCAGCGGAAGTGAGTATGTTAGGAAAATACTGACAGAGGGTACAAATCTGGGAGGAGTGGTCAATATGTCAGGTTCCTACCAGATGCCATTCACACAAACTTGACAGACTGGAGATGGTCTGACAGGAGCACCAAGAAGTTCAACAAGGGGAAGTACGAGACTCCTGCACCAGAGAAGGAACAACTGCATGCCCCAGTACAACCGGAGGAGGGAGGTGACTGGTTGAAAGTAGCCTTGCAGGAAGGACTTGTGGTGGACACCAAGGTGAACGTGAGCAGCAATGTGCAGCAAAGAGGGTGACCACTATCCTGGGCTTCCTTAGGAGTGCTACCAGCAGGACAAGGGACATGACTCTTCCTCTCTACTCAGGACTGCTGAGGTACCTTAAGACATCCTGGAGAGTCCAGTGAAGAGACTGTAACCTTTCTTACATGAAGAAAGGCTGAGAGCTGGGACTGCATTGTCCAGAGAAGCAAAAGCTCAGGGTGGATGTTATCAATATAAATAAATAGCTGAAGGGAGAGAATGAAGGATTGAGTCTCTTCCCAGCGGTGCCCAGTGACAGAGCCATAGGCAATGGACACCCATTAAAACACAGGGGCTTCCCTATGAACACCAGGAAACACATTTTTTACAGTGAGGGCAACCCAGCACTGGCACAGGCTGCCCAGAGATGATGTGGAGTCTCCATCCCTAAACACACTGCAAAGCAGCGAGGACCCGGCGCGGAGCCGCCGCTCAGTAACAGGGCCAGCCCTCGTTAAACGAGCCCGGCCCTCGGTAATGAAGCCGCCCGTCGATAACGCGGCCGAGCCCCGCGGAGCCGCACCTGAGTCCCGGCTGGGAGCCGGCAGGTGGGAGGGGCGCGGCTGGAGCGCAGGAAGCGGTGGCGGAAGGGGCGGGCGCGGTGTGTCCCCGGCGGAAAGGGCCCAGCGGAGCTTCCCTGCCGGCCCCCGCGGCAGAGCCGCCATGGAGGAGAGCAGCGGCGCCCGCCTCTCGGCCGAGTGCCTGGACGAGCCGCCCAACAGCCGCATCTTCGTGGTGCTGGGCAAGGACACCGAGGAGTCGCTGATCCGGGAGCGCTTCTCCCCCTTCGGGGACATCCAGAACATCTGGCTCCTGCGGGACAGGCGCACCAATGAGTCCCGCGGCATCGCCTTCATCAAGTTCGCCCGCAGCTCGCAGGCCTGCCGGGCCATGGAGGAGATGCACGGCCGCAGCCTGCTCCCCGACACCAAGCCCATCAAGGTGCCCGCCGGGGAGCGGGGCCTGGGGCTGTGGGGCGGGCCGTGTCAGGGTCTGTGCTGCCCGCAGGCCGGGCTGGCGCTGGGACCGCTCCGGTCTAAGCTGTAACAGGCCGGGGGAAGATGCTCTATATGAAGACTACGGGGTCTTTCCTTGGGGCTACGTTTTGAATTTTGAAGGAATCTCTGTGACAAAGATTCTTAAACAACATATTTTAAGTGTTGTAAGCAAGATAGATGGGAATAAATAGAGTTGACTTTGCAAGTGTGTTTCATAGGGGGGTTGTAGCTCGTGAAAACTTTTTTCAAAACTTTTTCTTTTTTTTAAATCTATGGAATTGGCTGGCAGTTTTCAGACTCCTGTTTTCATTTGAAAATGCAATTGACTCAGTAAAATCTTTTCTGAAGAACTTGCCATCAGAAGCCAAATGATCAAAGTTCTATTCCTCCCCTGCATGACTATTAGAAACATAAATGAGGAGCTCTGTGAAGTCAGTTGCTACTTTTGTATAAGAAGCTTACTTAGAAGGTGGTTTGTGTTTTTCTTACTTGGTTGTTTTGGGTTTGTTTCTGTGTTTGTTTTTATTTGTGGTTGGTTGGTTTTTTTTTGTTCTCCTGTTGTCTTTTGATGTGCACTTCTGACATGAAATTTATTTCAGTAATTAAAAGAGATTTTAACAGTAACAGATGTGAGAAGTTATGATCCTTCATAGAGCACTGGACCTGCAAACTTCAGCCCAGATAAGCAGTGAACTGCAGTAGCAAGGTTTTAATAAGCTGTTAGGCCTTTTTGTTTGTTTGCTTACGTATTTGTTTTTACCACTGCTATACTAGGCCTGTTACAGTAATGCATTCTTTGCTGCCTCTCCCATGTCACTGGGATATTAGGAATGCTGCTGAATCAGCGGCAGTATTCCTCACCATTGTTCCTTATCCCTGGTGAGACTTTCTGCTGGCCTCTGTCCTGCTTGGGAAACCATTTGGGGTGAATTGTATTTGTAGATCTTTTGTCACAGGTGATCACAGCTGTTCTTTTTTTCCATGTTAGAAAAGTTAGCTTATGTGAACAATAAATACAAAGGCTGTTAAACCTTTTTCTTGGTTGTTGATACATGTTAATACCTATTGCTGGTAATTAGCGTCTATGTAATTATTTCATTAGGTATTTATTGCACAATCAAGAGCTTCTGGAAGCCACCGAGATGTTGAAGATGAGGAGCTTACACGAATCTTTGTTATGATACCAAAATCCTATACAGAGGAAGATCTGCGAGAGAAGTTTAAGGTACTGATTTGCTATTTGATAGTTGTTATTTTAAATGCTTTTGTCTTAATTATCAAAAGGGTTGCATGCGCAAAAGCACATGGAACTTTGATGCATTTTCAAATATTGGAAATTAATATGCTTATTGGAAATTACTATGCTTTTTAATTGTTCTAGATGTATGGAGACATTGAATATTGCAGCATTATTAAAAACAAGACTACTGGAGAAAGTAAAGGTTTGGGCTATGTGAGATATCTAAAACCATCGCAAGCTGCCCGAGCAATTGAAGAGTGTGATCGAAGTAAGAATCTGACTGAATTCTTTGACCCTTTTTTGCAATAAGTGTGTATCATCATTAATGTACCTTTTATTTTTAGTTACGTTTTCAGGTGAATTATTTGTGATGTAAAAACATCTTGAGACAAAGTTCTTTTGCAAATAAATAATAGCATTGTTAACATTCAGTGAGAACAGTCACCTGATTACATTCTTTCAAGACCAGGAGAAGAAAGGCTTTTGGGGAAATCTTAACAGCAGCCTTCCAGTCCAACCTCCTGTTCAATGTTGCTTATTCACAAATAGGAAACAACTTAGTGTGTGGACATGGTTGCTTGTTGTTCTTTCTTCTTTTTATGTCTATTTGTCAGGTTTTTTCCCTCCCTAATATATGTGGTGGCTCTGCATCATATCTATCATAAGTGGTTCTACAAAAATATGAACCTGAGATTACTTAGCAGTAGAAGCATATTCCCTTTTTGCACTGAGGTTAAAATGAAATCAATTGGATAGCTTGAGTACCCATTTCTTGCATAAAAGCAAAACGTAGATCAGTGCAAAACACACATAAACTGCTGTTTTAGCACAGAAGTTCAGGTGATTGCTTCTGGAGCATCTCAGAATCCTGCTAAGTATCACAGAATGGTTGAAGTTGGAAGGGACCTCTGGAGGTCATCTTGCTCAAACATGGTCACCTTGGCACTGTGGTTGCTCAGGACCATGTCCAGGCGGCTTTTGAATATCCATAAGCATGGAGGCTCCAAAGCCTTTGTGGCAAACTCTGCCATTGCTCAGTCATTCTCACGGCAAGTAGATTGTTGTGCTTAACTTGTGAGTAGGAGTAGTTCTGTGTGGAAGCTGTTAGGTTTCACAAAATTACTATGGCAGTCTTCAAGAGTTATAAATTAGTTATTTCACTACAGCCAGTGCTTATTGGTCTTTCTGAATATTGTGTTTCTAAATATGGTACTTGGAGAATGTGGGTCTGATCAGATAATCAAGGTGTTGCTGTATTGTTTCTTTCAGGCTTCAGGGCCATTTTGGCTGAACCTAAAAATAAGTCATCTGAGTCTTTTGAACATGACTATTACAGTAACAACACAAGGCAAGAACCAAGAGGAAATGCACTTCCATTTTGTAAGTCACAGCTTTTGGTACTAAAAATTATTTGTATCGAGTATGGTCGCTCGAGTATGGTTTGGAAGAAGGGAAGCTATGGAGTCTTAGCTCAACATTTAAGTAGTAGATTGGATGTTGAAGTTAGGAACTAGCCAGGCATATCATCTCTATATTTTTATGGCTTGCTTTGCTCTGGTTGGCCAATTATTTTGCGATTTCCATTGGTGAAATTAACACATTACTTTTAGTATGTAATTGACTTGGTTGCTTTTAAAAGTTTTGAATGCAACATATGCATGAAATGAAGGCATGCTGGTGTGATGAGTCAAATTATTGTGTTGATTTTTGAGGTATGCAGCCAGAATTTTGTAGTTTTGAAAAAAATGAGTGCAGAATTCAAGAATCAGTCTCCAAACGTCTGTCGGTGGTGTCACGGCTTCCCTTTATTCAAGAGCAGCTGTTCGCCCTCTTTGATTTAGTTCCAGGACTGGAATATTGTGATGTTCAGCGAGATCCTTATACCAATAGTGGTAAGTATAAGTACAAAAAAGTTTATTTTCCCTATATCTATGAAGGGAATCCCTTGTAATTTTACTTCAATTAATTTGTATTGCAAAATACAGTACACTTGTTGGAAAGAGTCAATGGTTGTTGCTGTCACTGCATAAACCCAAATGTTCAGTTTTGCATGAACCCCTGTTTATAGGTAGGCATAAATACTTTTACTTTCAGGTAATAAAATCTCAAGAAGGATGGAATCAAAGTCATGATAAGTGGTTTTGGTCAAATTAATAGTTTTAGGTAGAATTAATGAAGGAAAAGTTTTATAAATTATTGGACATCTAGTTAAAATGTTCTCTAAACAAATCTTTCGAGTTTTCATCTTGAAATGGGCATGGGGGTGTGTGTGTGTCTGTAGAAACTGACATGAGTAAATGGGATTAAATAATTCCAGAACAGATCATGTTTTCCAGTAAAAAGATGTTTTGGTTTCAGTCTCGTTTTGCTGCTGCTGAGACAAGTGTGGAAGTGGTCTCTTCTCCAAGAAGCTTGAAATGATTCAGAGAGCTAAAATATAACTTTACAGTTCTTGAGATTCACTGTTAATGGGATAGTTGCATTTTTAAATAAAAGTATATATCCTTTTGTTACTCATTCTGGATTAGTGAAGAAGACGTGTCTTTACTTGTGTGGGTTTATTGCCAGCTTTTCAAGGTAGCATAAATACAGCTCATCTGCCACCAGTTAATTCCACTGAAGTTTTTCTACAAATAGTACTGGTGAAGTAATGTGATGTGTGGTAAAAAGACTTAAAAATTTCGTGTCATCCATGACTGATGTGCGGTTTAATCCTATTGCTCTATATGGGTATAGTTTGTTCTTAGGATTTAGCTATCTCACACTGAAGCTGTGTGCACTGTATTTGCAGGCTACGCTGTGATTCAGTACAGCACTGCCGCGTCAGCTATATATGCCAAGTACAAATTACATGGCTTTGAGTACCCTCCTGGAAATCGATTAACAGTCATTTTCCTAGAAGATGGGAGTGATAGTTCAGAGTAAGTACTAATACCTTGAGACAAAAAGTTGTAAGTTGTGTTCTGGAGAGCAACATGTAAAATAAACACATTTTTAACATAAGTGGCACCAATATCACTCTGAGCTTGTTCCATACTCGTAGATAGCATTTCTGAAATTGAGGTGTTTGGTTTGGGGTTTTCTTTTTGAATGGTTTAGAATAAGCCTTTTAAAACTTACTAGTTTTTGATAAAGAGAAGATTAAAATATATATTCTTAAGATATTATGGAAAAATCTTGGATTTACAAGAATCTTTGTCAGTGTATTTGTAATATGTAACAAGGGCTGGAATGTGTTTCTAATATCTTGGTTGTTTGCAGTAGGGCAAGTAGTAACCTTGTGAAGCACATATGTAGAATAAAGCTGCTGGTGATGAGGATCTGATATCCTCACGGTATGGGGAATCATCAGGTGTTCCACTGTCTCTAACTCATCCCTGTCATTTGAATGCCCATTACAAGTTGGAGGGGCTTAGGTACTCTCCTGCACTGAAAATTTTAGCTTAGTTTCATACTAAAGGAATCTAGTTCATCTCAAACCTATTCTGGGAAATGAATGGGGACAGTAAGGAGGGACAATGGGGAGACTTACTTCAGAAGTGCATGCCTGACCCAAACTAGAAAAAATGCTGATTGCAACCTTCATTCTTCAATAATTCTTGCACCATTGTCTTACAACTCAGGCTGTGACTCTATGCAAAACGTGCAATTGCTTTTTCTTGTTCTGCAACAGAACAAAGTAAAGTCACTGGAAAATAGGAGCTGGAAGTAAACTTTCTGTGATAATAATTTTCTGAACTGAATCTTAGTGCTCCTTACTGAAATAGGTGAAATTTTTCTGTCCCTTTTGCTTTTTAGGCACCTCTCACAAAATACAGTGGGCTCTTGTAGAGATAATTTTATGTTTTGTACCCTTAGAGTATTAAAAAAAGCAAAGGGTAGTTTTGTATCTCTCTATATAGTGATGTATTAGTATTTTTAGTGAGTTCCAGCTAGCATGCATACTTTCAGATCATGTCTGTAGTGTGTCATGAAAGTCTGGCTTGATTTTCATTATTTACATGATGTTACAGATTTCCAGAGATACTCTTTGATGTGCACTGAAACTTTTCTCTTGCTGAATTTAGGATTAACTTAGCTCTTTCTTTAAACTATTTTATTATCACTTCTGCTTGCAGCCTCATCAGAAAAATGGCAACACAGCTGGTAACAGCACAGGTGTCGTCAGCGTTGCGCAATAACAATGCAATTGTTCAGCAGTATCGGACACCTCCTGTAAGTTCATATAAAGCACAGTGTTAGTATTCTTCTGAATTGTAAGAAACTTCAGATATGTTAATAAAGAACTCTGCTTACTTTCTTCTGTAACTGTTTTAGATGCTGCACTTTTTAAGATGTACCCCTGTAAAGTTGTCTGAGCTTACTTGGATTTATTGTCCAATCTAATAAAATAACCAAAATAAATAAAGTAAGGAAGATTAGAACTTGTAGAGGTTGTTTATGTCCTGTGATGAGAACAAAAACTGTAAGTAAGGTAAAATTACTTCCTCTGCCCCCTGCCATCAGTTAATTTATACTTATGTTTTTTTTTCTCCTGTTTCAGCCAGCGTTTGGAGGAACTTCAGGCCCACAGTTACTTCAGCCCCAAACAGATGCCATACTGCCGCCACCCAAAAAAAAAGCTCCACCTGACACTGCTGTGAAGGAAAGGCTTTTCATACTATTTCATCCCCATCCTTTACCTGTAAACATATTGGAAGATGTGTTCTGGTAAGCCTCCATTTATAAATAAGTGCTTCCTAACACAAAGAAAACAAACTATTTAAAATAAATGTTGAAAATAAAAAAGATTATCGTAAAAATGCTTTCCAAAAAGGGCAGTTTGCAGTGGTCAGTAAGTATAAGTGAACAGTAAGTAATAGTTGCTTTTTGAAACTAGTGTGTAATAAAATTCACATTGAAGCATAGCTGCAGTGTCAGCAGTATAGCAGCTTTATTATCAATAAACTTAATCTAAAGTAAAATGTCTAGTCTTCTAATGCTTATTTTTAACCAAAAAATGTGGTACTTCCAGTTCTTCTAATTTATTTTGCATTTTCTTTTACATATTTCTGTAATATATTTAAGTATTTTGATAAATTTCCACAGTAACTTAGGTAAGTATAAGGAGTTATATATCTTATATATGTTATATATCATATGTCATAATGGTTTGCATTTTACTGACACTATTTCAGCTGTTCTTTCACACAGCCTCCTTCTGAGGAGCAAAGACTTGAGACAATTTTTGCCACCTTTAAAACAAATCTGTAGTTAACTCCAGTGTTTTCTATTATTTCTTTGTAGTATACTCTTGAGGAGAAAGACATTTCCCTTTTCTAATAGCTTGCATTTGCAATAAATCTTTGGAAAGCCAAACTACATTCAAAGCACCAGGAGAGGAAAAGAAATAATATGCATATAATGTGGAATTTAAATCTGTACCTATTTGATAAATGGATTTTCTTAATCAGATGCTGGAGAAGGAAAAGGCTATGTATACATTTGTGTAACTTCATTATGAAGTAAGCAGACTATTTTTCAGAAACATATTTCAAGGAACTTTCTAGGAATCTCCCGAGGACTTTAAAAATCTGTGTTTTCCCTAAAGCTTTTGTACTTGCTTTCTGAGTCATTTCAGTGAGACCTTTTCAAAGATGAATCACAACTGAGCAAGTTCATTTAAGTGAAATGCAGGTTTCGCTTCAAAAGTATCTGCTGGTTTGCGCATGTAGGTCTTTTTTTTTTTGGTTTGTTTGGTTTTCTTTTTGTTTTGTTTTGGGTTTTTTTTGGGGGGTGTTTTGAGTGCCATGTAGTGTTTGGGGACTATAGTATTTATTAGCTTTACATATTCTTTTAAGTAAGAGAGAAACCACTGGAGTTTGTGGTTCTATCACAATATTCCGTAGAAAACATAGTCTAATAAATTCTGGTATTATTTCTGTTCCTGCTCATAATTCAAGAGAAGGGAGTATGAAAATTGTGAGTTTTAGAAGAGGCCAGGAGAAGAAAACATAACGTGCATATCAGAATACAGTTTTTGCACTTAACAGGTCATATATACTTCAGATAGGATATGTTGCAGGAAAACTGTAAAATCTCTTTGTTTTTTCCCCCCCTCCGCCAGTCGTTTCGGACAATTGATACAAGTTTACCTTGTGGCTGGAAAAAATGTGGGCTACGCGAAATTTGCAGACAGAGCGAGTGCCAGCGAGGCCATAACTGTGTTACATGGCAAGATTGTGAATGGTGTCAGGCTCAAGGTGAGGTTGGCAGACTCGCCCTCGGAGGAGCCCAACAAGCGCCAGAGAACTTACTAAGCAGGTGAGTACCCAGTCTGAGCTGTTACTTTACACTGAAGTTCAGCTACTTGAAATAGTGATAGGCTAAGTATATTTAAAGTTAGATACAAACGTGTAATGATAAACTTTAAACCTGACAACTTGAAATACAATTTGTGGTGTATCCGTTTGTGTGTGTATATATATATGCACATACAGATATGTGTATGCTTATATAGGCACACATGCACTTTATTTTAGCAAAAATGAATTTTTTATAATTCTTGGAAAAATATGAACCAGTTGATAAAAATCAATGTGGATGTTCATAGAAATGTTTTCTTTTGTACATAAGAGAATCAGTTAACGTTGAAAAGAGAATGCAAAATAAACAATGGAACTGATATCAGCTTCTGTGTGTCTTTTTTTTGATTAAAAAACCATACCATCGGTGGTGTTAGATAAAGATGCAGAGTTGAGCCCTTGGAGGGTAGAGGAGTGAAGGGGTAAATAAAAAAGGGTGTGTGGGAGGACAGGTAAGGTTGTCAGGTGAAACCAAAAGTTTGGGATATTTGGGTCATCTGAATTCTCAGAAATCAGGTCTAGCTGAAATGCGTGATAGTGAGGAAAATATTGCAGAGCTTGTGGTGGAGGGATTGAGATGCATGTTTAAGATAATTAGTTTGAGAACTTGTTGTTTGATGCTTATGGCCTGTGAAAGCTAGCTAAACTCCTAGAGGTTTTATATTTTTTAGACTTCAGGGACCAAAACCTAATTGTTCTTTTAAAACATTGGTTTGCTTCAAATTTTATCAAATTTAACTTCTTATTTTTAAATTTTTTTTTTTTAACATTAGAACTACTACCAAAAGAGAAATACAGTAGGGGGAGAAGAAGCTGTTTTCTGAAAAATAACTCAATTATTACTACAGCTTTCAGATATTTCCAGTAGCCATATTATCTTCCTAGGGGACACGGAAGTTTTGATTTAACTCATTCAGAAAACGTCATATGAAATCCTGACTCTCTTCACGTCAATATTTTACCTCTAAGCTTCACTCCTTGTGCCTTTCTTTGTATAGATATTCTTTGTGACCCCAGAATTGCAAAGATCAAAAAAGATTTTGCCCAGATTGTTCTTGTTCTCCTTTTTTCCTGAGGACTTTCCTGTTGCTCTTTTGATAAGCAGCAAATGCTAAAGGTGGTTTTAGTCTTTACACACAACTTTTGTTTTAAAAAATTGTTTTTGTAGCGTTCTTTTTCTCCATTGAATTATCGCTAAAACTAATGTGAAGTTTTTTTTCTTTTTTTTTAATCAGCAGCTCTGATGAACATTTTCTGTGTACAAAGTTTTGTTTTTAATGTGAGTTTTACTCTCAACACTTAAAGGCCAGCTTCTGGGTCTCTAGAGGAATAACTGTGATGTGACGTGTAAGACCAGGTCTGCCTTGAGTACTTTTTACTAGAAAAATGTAAACACAATATGCATCCAAAATTAGAAAGATAAAGATAATTTATCCTTAAGTTTTCTTTCCTTGTTTTTAAGAAAGGTAAGAGTGAGAAGACTGGAAAGTTCTCTTCTGATAGTCTATCTAAAACATTTTTTTTTTTATTCACACATATGAACACACACAGAAGCACATTTTTCCAGTCATGATTGTTGAGAAGATTCTTCAGTGTCTCCAAGTGATTGTGCAGTTTGTCACCAAATGGGATTTTCAAAAGGCTAAAGCTTACTTTGTGTTTCAAGTTATGTTATTAAATTCTAATATACACATATTACTGACTACTCAGAAACCTGAACTCGTTTATAAGGTCAGAGTAAGACACATACATTTTACTTAATTAGAAAAATGGAAAAATAAGATCCTATTTAAAGAATTATATTTTTACAACATGCAAAATTACAGCAGAGGTCTCTGTCCTTTCCTAGGTTTTTGTATCTCTGTAAAATTTCAAATAACAGAGTACTAGTTTTAGTTGTTGAAAGGCAGACACGTTAAGTTTGTCTTGGACAGATTACTAGAAATTCTGGTAGAAATGGCTGCTGAATATTTCCCTCCTGCTTAGCCTTTTATCTGCTGAATCTGTGCTATAGCACAGGGAGAAGAGATTTCTAAATTTACAGCGTTACCTCCTTTACACCAGGTTCCTGATTCTGAGTCTTTTAGCAGGTTGTTTTAGCATCTCTCTCTTCTTAGGATAGATAGACAAAATTACTTGTTCTTTTTGTCCTTTAGTTGGTTTCTCAAATTCAAATGAAACGGTACATAAAATGAAAGATTGGGCTTGCCCATTTAAATGGAGCTTACCACTGCCTGACTTTGCCTTGGACTGGCTGACAAAAAGCTTTGCAGTAGTGTAGAGGGTTATAATTTTCTTTCACCTAAAGCGTTGAATTGTGCATGTGAAAGGAGATGGAATTCTCTCTACCTCTGTTTTGTGGGTTTTTTTGAATATGTGAGAATATTAACTTTTTTCTTTTTAAATTTTAGCTGTAGTAAATAATCTGCCTAGCTGTAACTTCTCTGAGTTTTCACTTAAGGAAGTCATTCCCTCTTTAAAAAAGCGCTTCTAAAGTCCTGTTGTATTGCTGGCTTTTTGTCTCTAACAAGGTGACTGGATTTCTGCAATAGTCCTTTCTATACAAGGTTCTCTGTTTAAAATCTGTGATAAGACCTGCGAGTCTAGAATCTATATGAAAATAAATGTAATTCAATGGAATAATTAAATATAAATAAAATATTTTTTCTACACATTTGACATTTTCCCCAACACTTTATGTAAATACTCTTTTTAAAAATACAATTTACAAAATTGTTTCTTAAAAAATGTTTCTGAAAATATGTTAACAGTATGCTACTGATAATGCTCTTGCAATGTAAAGGTTTGACCATAAGAACTTTGTTAACTTTCAACCACCTTTGTTTATCATGTGTATTAATATTCTAAACTAATGCACCTAATGAATTTTACACACTCTGGCTCTCCTACAAGTCAGTGAAAATTCAATTTATATGAGTAGTTAAAAGTAGCAGAGAAAAGATGGAAATATAGACCAATAATGCTCTCTTAACTACTTTAAATTCTAATGTAAGGTGTTTTGGGGGTGAGGTTGTCCTCTCTTATGCTAAGTAAGTATAAACGGCTTAGCCGTTTATAGTAATCACTTTAAAATATCTTGCTTTGAATCAGTCTAGGCTTGAGAAGACAACTACAGTGTCTACTTCTAGGTAGTTGTTGAAAGCAGACCAGTCTTAATGTTCTTGCTGTTGACCAGCTTGTGCTCTCCACTCAGAGTTTTGCATTACTCTGAGTATTTCATGAAAACCTCACTGCAGTGTCTGATGCCAGTTGTGTAAATTATGTCATTCAAAAATGGAAGAGGAAGGAAGGAATTTGCTATCTTTCAGAAGAATGGGTTGTGGAAATCCAATTAATCTCTCTATTGCAACCTAGTAGTTCTATTTTAATATCATCCCCACTCCCAAAAACAACTCCTACCAAAGAACAGACCCACAAACAAACAAAATCAAAACCCACACGAAAAGTCTTTCACAAAGCTTTCAAGTAGTCCTTAGAAAGCAGCTTCTAACTAGCAGTGTATTAAAAATGCAAGACACAGCTATGTGGACCTGGGTTCTGTGGGTTTTAATAGTTTAGTCATTTGCTGACTGACTTCAACCCACAGCAAATGATTCATTGCATTTTTCCCCTTTGGAAAAAGTTTGGTGGTGTCTTTAAATAATTATTTAGTCACTTACTAAGTTGAGAAGCATTTATTCTGTCATGAAATACTTGGTTATTATTGTCTTTTGTTACTCTTGCTCTGAAAAAGTCTTGCATCACTGATTTAATTTGCATTCATTTTTTTATTTAAAACTTTATTAAAATCCTGAAGTTAAAATCTGTATTTATAATAATGTATTGCTGTGCAAAAACGTTTAAAAAAAGTAATTGTATCATAGCTGACATGTACTCTGAAAAAAATACCTGTAATTTGTATCAACAGCATACTGCAGAAAAAATACAGCTTTTACATACTGCTTAGAAAAAGAAACACTTCTTTAAAAGTTGGAGAAGCATACCTAAAACTTTAATGTTATTCTTCTAAAAATATTTAAAGCCTTATTTATATGCTGTTGTAGTGGTTCTATTTTATAAGACATACTTTTAAAATAAAAATACGTACGTTGCTTTTTCATGCTATTTTTGTACTTGTGTTTTTTCTACAGAAACTAAATAATGACATGACCCTCAGCTAGCTGACTGACTGACTGAAAACGTGACTAGACATGGTTCCTGTGGACAGTGACAGCTTTTTCAGTGACAGCTTTTTTGTTGTTGGTTTTTTTAATTGTTCCTTAGTTGATCTTCTCTCTATGGTGCTTTTTTATTTTGAATATGCAGACATGCAGTTTTGAAAATTATCTAGGTATTTAACATTGTAAACTGGTGGTTGTTCTTGTAGTAGTATATAATCCTGTATTACAGAAATAACTCTTGTTTTTACCCGAATTCCTCCTATAAGATGGAAATTACAATGATGGGGGAAATAAAGGAGTCAGCATTTTCAGACGTGACTGGCTAGTTGATAATGATTCAGATTCTGTTAAGATAGAAGACATTTCTCATAATCCAAATTGCACTGAAAAGTGAAGTACAGCAGTAAATTCAAAGAAAATGAAATAAGTGTTTAAAAACTGCTAGCAGGCATGACAGTATTAATCTAGATTTAAGAAAATAGCTGTAATCTAGAAAATTATTCAAAGTACATTCTTAAATATTTTGTTGACTTGGGCCAAAGGTATTTGTTATGCTTTGTATGCTGTTTAGTGAAAGTGACATTTGACTGTGGGTCAGACTATCAAAACTGCTTACATTTATCCTTTCTTATCCTGAGGTCTTTTGATTATAACTGGGGAAAGTATGGTGTCTAGGAGTGTGGGTTTGCCGCTTTTTTTTTTTTTTTTCCTCCCAGAAGCTTTCAATGCATTTGTTCAAGTGAGAGTTGGACAAGTCAGCATTTCAGCAGGATGAAGAGCACATTCTGGCACTGATGGAGACTAAATGAAGATAGTTCAAATATTTGCACAGAGAATTTTCAAATGCCAAATACAAATATGTATTCCTGCATACCACTTGTTGAATTGAAAATATCCTGGTTATTAAAATAATTTATGCAGATAAAATTGAGGAATTCCAGTTGTATGCACGCTACAGGACAAGCATGCCCTTGGATGCATCTCCCATCCTGGTCCCTTGATCATTGGTGTGGGGAGAGACACTGAAGCACCCTGTAACTTCTGGCTCTGCACACCTTTGGAAGTATTTCCTTCCAAGAAATCCCTACCTCACAGGAAGATTTGGACAAGAATGCAGGTCTTACTCTCTTAGTTCCAGGATGGGATAGTGAACTGTGTTCAGGGTGGACATCATCAGTGTATGCACTTTTAATGGGCTGGGAGAGTTATTTACATTGATGAGGGGGGTTGGGTCACAGGGGAGACAGAGTGAGGGACAGTAGATCTGGATAGTGGGGTTTAAGAAACAATGAGATTTGAGCTTTTATCCTACCCTGTAATTTCATGCACTTACCACTTTTCTTCACTCCCTGCCAGCAGTGTTAGGTTGGCTTAGCCTCAGGTTCCCTTCCCGGTGGGGAGATGTTGCTGTTGGGAGGGCTGGACGGAGGGTTGTTTTTGTGCTGTGCATCTGCTCAGTCACCAGCTTAGATCCCACTGGCCAGTGTCCCTTAGCAGCCCTGGGCTTTCATTTTTATGTAGCTCACTGAGCTCCAGGATCATCGTCCCCCCTTCCATGATTCTCACCATCTGCTTCTCCAGCCCCTTATTCTTTCCAAGACTGTTGCTTCTTACCAGGAAACCTTTGCAACCTCCTTTCTGGTGGTGCAGCCCCTTCATTTTCCCAGTCTCAACAGTGAATGTGCAGAGAAACACAGCACCTTATCATAGTGGGTTTGTCTTGTGTCTCTTAATTAATTTAAGCTATGTTTTTACCTACAACAGATGGGTTGCTTTTCTTGTTTTATTTGTTTTTTTAAAAAGAAGGAGGAAATGAGAAGGTATTGGAAAACATCTCTAGTTGTAAGTAACTAAAAGCTGCTTAATTTTCTTAATTAAGAAAACTTCTTAATTTTCTCCTTTGTTTCCCAACAGCAAAACACATGCACCCAATAAAGTAATGGCCTTGGTTGGGATGTGGGGGAGTGGGGGTGGGAAGAGGAGGGAGTGGAGAGTTTTTGATAAAATCTTTTTAACTGGAAGGCATGCTTACTCAAACCTTAGAGCTTTACCATTTGGTGCTTTACAGTCAGCTGTCTTAAACTACTGCTAGGATGCAAACCTAGATTAGCCGTCTGGTAATTGTCATTTGACTTCACCTACTATCAAATAAATGCAATTAGAATAATATTACATGCAGGTTACTTAATGTTACTTATACAGCAAATATTTTAAAGTATTTAGTAAATATTTCAATACAGTCATGTTCAACTAGATTTTATTTCCTGCTCCTTATTAAGGAGTATCAGTAAAAATACTTTTGCATTAGAGGGTATATGAGAATAAGCACTGTCATTACAATTGTTTCAGAAGTTTAAATTCAAGTTTAAAAGTTGAAAAAATGTTCTTCCTATGTTAAAAGAATATTAGAATTCAAATGCTCAACGGTGAGGAAGTTCAGAATAAAGATTGCCTAAGAAACCTCCTTTTCCTTCTTTCCATCTCCCTAGTATGTGTTACAGTGCAGTCCTTGATGACTCACCAGCAGCTTTTTTCCCCAAGAGCAGTTGTTCCATTCAGCACAAAGAACAGAATTTGAATCAAGGCTGCATGGTTAATGCAGGCTGTAAAATTCCTGCTCAGTTTGGTGTAGATGTTAAAAATCAGAGGTTTATGCTTGAGCCTGGAGAATTGGATCCTGTGACTCTAGCCCAAAGGTTGTTCATAAGAAGGGTTGCCACTTCTCTGGGGTTCCCATGAAAAAATTCCCAGTTTGGGTTGGTGTGTTAGGTTTCTTTGCTGCTTGGTTGGTTTTGTGATTTTTTTTCTTTTCGTCCTTTATGTTAAATTTCAAGTAGTGTTTGGGGCTTTCCTGTTTTGCTCAGGGGAAATAATTTCGACAAGGTTGCCATAAATCCCAAATTCCACAACTGTCAAGCAGCACCTTTGCAGACTTAACTGTACAGTCAGTGTGTGCAGTGAATCCAAAACTTTCAGAAAGCATCAGTCCTATTCTGGATACATGGAAAGACACCATGTTCGTGTAGAGGGGCCTGACACATGCTGATGAACCTGTATGGTGCAGTGTATCTGTGAAATGCAGTGAAATGCTGAGAATGCCTGTATAGGCAGTTGAAAGAAACCCCAACTTCTCCTTTATGTGATAGAATCAGCCTTCTGATGAGTCTCTCTTATGTCACGATCCCTGGTCTGACGTGGTACTGAAGATGGATCCCTGTGTGCTTAGGGGATATAAACATCCCCAGGAGGGTAAACACTCAAAAATGAAGTGACTTGTGTCTCTTTTTGGCCGTCCAACATGGGGAATTAAAAATCAGGTTGGCATGATCTTAATGGGCATAATCCTAATGAAGGGAGCATTCAACACACGCAGAGGGTTAAAGGATACCCTTTACAACTTGAACTAATGTTACAAAGTACCAGAGCAGTGTCATTTTCTAATCGTTCTCCATCTTTTGTTTTGTAATTACATGTCTCTGGGAGTAGTGGGCCGCTGCACTCCCCTGGGCATGGAAGATCAATGCTCCCTGCTTTGGGCTGTGAAGTTCTCTTGCCTGCTCATTCAGTCAGGTCTGCAATTGGAGAGAATTGGAATTGGGCTGGAATTTGAAAAAAAAAAAAATTTCCCATTTCTGGTTCTAAGACTTCGAGGTACCCAAAAAAGCAACTCTGCAAACAGCATCTCCCTTTTACTCAGTATTGAATCAGGCTACTAGTCAACTCACATGGAGTCATTTGCAGTGTTCTGGTAATGGTTTTTAGAAGATACTTAAACCAAAATCATTATTGTTCTCCTTAGAGTTCAGTGTATTTACTGAAAGTATTAATGTACTATTCTTCTCTATCTAAGTAACAGCTTGTGTAAATACATTTTGCTGTTTTAAAGTACCCCAGCATTTTTGATTGGATATGATATTCACCACTCCCTGTTTCAGTTGTTATATAGCACTACTGGTGAATGGCATGCTGCTTTTATAGGTCATTTTATTGGTAAGTAAAAACTGTCTGCTGTGAAAATGAGTATTAGGTTCCTGCACTGGAAAAAAACTTGTCACTCATATTCCTTTTGATGGTGTTTAGTGAATTGACCAAAACTGTATAGGGTTTTTGGTGTGCTGTTTTGCAGAATCAGTGCTTTAATGCTCTTAACTAGAATTTAGTATGCTCACCTGTAAGTGACTTGGATTTCAGCTGTGTTCATCAGCCATAGTTTCTGTAGGCATTGAACAAGGCTGTTATACCTTTTGAAAATGAGATAATACAGATTTCATAAATTACACTAAATGATGTCCAATAGAAATAATTTTATCCATTTATTGAGTCATAACTGCTTGGTCAGTAGAGGAGCCTTTTCTTTGTGTAACTTGGGGAAGATACTAATCTGCTTATGTTGTCTGAATGTCTACATTAGGATATTTTTGATTATGAAATGAAAAAAGGCCATTCTCAAGAGGGCTGTGCATTCTGAATGTGATCTGTGAGTCAGTGATTGCAGTGCCTCTCTGGGTCCTGGAGTTCCTGAGACCTTTAGTGGCACAAACAAGTCCTAGGGCACCTCACGTGGGGGTAGAGCCCAGGTTTGCAGTGCAGTGTGCATTTGGATTTCCTTTGCATCCTTTCTTGTTCTTCCTGTTGGTGGTCCTTTTTCTGACCCAGGGCACTCTGTCTCTTCTGCTCTGTCTCCAGAGATATCATCTGATGTCTGCAATACCAGGAACCTCCACTCTTTCAATTACTGTAGAAGTAAGTGACAGACAGAAGGAGTAATCATACATTAAGTAGAAACTGTTAAAGGTGAAAACATGTAATTATGTGCCCAGTTTCAATTCAGGAAAACTAATTTCATATTCTCATTATGCCATTTTCCTGAACTTACTACCTTTATTTGTTAAACATTAATTTAAAACTTTATCAGAGATTCTGCTCAAGTTTTTCGCAGAATGTAGATTAGAACTACATTTATATTGGTAAATCTTCTCCAAATAAAGTGAAGAAAAGCTATCAAAGGAGGGTTAACGATGCCAAGTTCACTTACAGTTACAGCAAAGGGACAAAGGGTGACACTGCAGCCAGGAGTGCTGTGAGGCAATCCCTCTGGTTCCAGCAGAGGTCACTGGGCTCCTGGGTGTGTAGATGGAGACTGCAGCTCAAAGCTGACACCGCTGAAAATCTTAACCTGCTCCTGAGATAACCTATATATAGAATGTCATAACCAAAAGCTTATGGTTTTTTTCCACAGGTAAAGAATTATCACTAAGTGTATCAATTTCAAACACATAATTTAAAGTGCTTTTAATGTAAGTTAATAATTAAAATAATCTAAAGTAATTGATTTAAAAGTAATAGGAGACAGAAGCCTATTTTAACTTGCATATTTTCTCTGAATTATTTTTAATCCATTTTTTTTCTTCACAGCCTTTCAGCTTTAAAATACAGATGTTCTAGTTTTGCTTGCACATGCCTCACATGTCTATTTCTGATTTATTTTTCTTCCTGTTTCAGAGGCTTTTCCTAGTTTTGCTAATGCAGGATTAGCCAAATACTTTTAAAATTATCGTGCTGAGTATGAAAATTTTCTGTGAGATACCTGAAAACACTGCATACAGAACACCTCTTTATACCATTTTTTGGCATTTTTGCAATTTTTCTGTAAAAGATTAGGAGCAAGATAATGAGCAGGAACTAGGAAGAGAA